GTGTTACTTGGTAGTTGAGAAATTATATACATTTCATATAACTAAAATAATTAAAAAAAAAAAATTGTCCTCGTTTCCAACTAGCACATTGGAGAAATAGAAATGAAACATGTGGATGTTATAAAATATGTAATATTTTATGAGCAAACGCACATGTACTGTTTTCGACTAGATAATATTTTAGATAAAAAGTAGTACGATGTTAAATTAAGCCTTTCAACATTTATTCTCTTATAAATCCCATTTGATCTATCTAAGGATATAAACAAAAAAAAAAGAAAAAAAGATGACTGATTTCATCACATATACAAAGAAGAAGATTGAAGATTTGTCTGTATACATTGTTTCTTGTGGAAAATCTTATAAAGGTAAGACACTGAAAATTATTTTGTGTGTCTACAAAACTTTTGATTCCCTTACTTTATTTTTCATGTTAGAAACTCTTTTAGTTTTTAATTTTTCTTTGAAAATTATCCGTGTGTGTACGTCTCTGAGTTACAGGTAAAATTAGTAAATTGGTTCGATCCTCACATCATCTTTTCATATTTGTCTCGCTAAATCATTGTCATTGATATATATCAGTTGTTGGACTAAAATTACTCAAACATACTTTCTTTTATATAGTCAAGTGATTTACAAGAATATATCTTTGGAGAGGGGACTAACACTCTCAAGTCTTAAACTTATTTTATAAATTAGATAAATATTGTTGAATATCACAAAATAGTATAATAGACAAATAAAAATGAACGGAGAAAGTACATGAATATTACAGGAAGAAGCTAGCAGCAGCTAACACTTCTCGAAATTAATAATTTAATTTTTCATATGGATCTCAAGGTCTATTATAATATATGGTAACTATTGAACCTTTCAAAGTTTAATATGACAATAAATTAAAGCTCATTTCCATCCATTGCAACTTGGAAAAAATAACTAGAAATTAAAGAAAGAAAGATAGCAAATTTCTATCAAGATACAAAGAACAAAATTCAAGATCTCTTCATATACAATGTTTCTTGTGGAAAATCTTTTTCTAATGATAAGACATGAAGAATAATTGTCTTATATGTCTAGGGAAAAAGATCACTCTTAATTTTCTTTACAGGAACATTATCCTTTTTGAAGTTATTGATTATCTAATTTAAATCTAAAAATTTAAGCAGATAGAGAGCACAATAATTTTTATAACTTAAATATGCCTTTGATACATCCCTTTACGCAGGTGACACCTTGATTTTTTCGAAAGCCAATTGCTGATTTTTAAATCGCCAATTTTTTCACAACATCATCTAAAAAATTTAAATTACTAAGAGATTATAAACTTTTAATTTATTTAGTTGTCTTTAATTGAACTATTTCTTAAAATCATAACTTGGATATGTGTTCAATCTTTAGAACCTGCAAGAGATGTACCAGAAGAAGACCAAGCTGGTCCAGTAACAAATATAACACCAATAAGATTTTCTAAAGGTAAGAGTTGAAGCCTTTCCTATTATATATATATAAATTTCACTCTTTTTTCTTATATCATTTTTTTATTATTATAAATACACTTTTTTTAATTAAATATGTCCTTCATAAGTCTCTTTCAATTCAGTGGCAAAGAGCTAGGGATTCAAATAGTTCACTTTGAAATCATATTGAAGTTTGTGGTGATTGGATCTCTGATTTGCTTCATTCTTTCCCATGACAATTACTAAAACAAAAAAAGGGGAATGTCAATGAATCCGGGAAAAAATAATTAATCTATATCAATAGATCTGCTAAAGCCTCGAACTATAGAGTACTTAGTACTGATGCTACAGAGAGATATGTTTTTAGATCTCGCATTGAAAAATGGTCATTAATTTCTTTTGTATTTTGATTTCTAATTTTATTACATTTAGTGGATTTAAGTAAGGTGTGAATTGAAAAATAAGAATTGAGAAATATGGGGGAACCAAGTGAAGGGAATATAAAAAGTCATTTCTCCTTCATTAATAAAAAAATGAAAAGTTTTGTCATTATACTAAGGAACACTTTATTTAGTTGTTAAAGAGTTAAGCAGAAGATGTTTTCTCTTGTCATTATCGCTCGATCTCGATCTTAATTTTGGCTTTGACTATGACAACTGATGTGAGTGATTTGTTGGAAAAGTGGATAAACACAAAAATATATATATGACAAAAGTAATGAAAATAAAATGAAAAATAATGATATGAAGAATTTTATGTGAAAACATTTCTAAATAAGGAAAAAACCACATGTCAAGAGGAGCAACTGATATTAATATAGTAAAGAATTTTAAACTGTGTAGTCACGAATACAATACTCAAAGTAACTAATACACACTCAAAAGGAACAACACTCTTTTGGTTTCCACCTTACTAAAATATCGCTCACACTCTATTTTTCTTCATAGATTATTTTTCTTGTATAGTTTATGGAATACCTCACTTTGTTCTCAAAATGGTTTTTCTCTCTAACTTGGTGCGTTCTATAAATGAGCAAGAATACTCTATTTATAGAATAAATTTACAACTAATGATGTCACCAATGACATCATGAAAATACTTAAGATTCAAACTTTGCAACTTAAGTATTTTATAAATAATTTTCAATTTTTTTCGATACGTGATGTTATCAACCATATAACTGGAAAAAATTGTCAGCACACTTTGAGCCCACAAGATAATGCCAAATAGATCGAAAAGGAGTATAAAATTATTTATAAAAGAAATTAAGAGAATAATAAGATTTTGATATAGTATGAATATCTCTGAAATTGCGGACACAGGTTAGGAATACTTATACATTTTCACATGTTATTTTGCATACTTCATTTCTCCTTTTTCCTAGTTTGCCCACAATCTTTCACAATATCATCTAAAATTTCGAACTATTTAAAATAACTTACTTCTATTTATTTAATTACGTCTTCAATACAATATATTCTTGAAACAATTTTAACATATATGTGTGTTCAATTTTGTCAGAGCCACCAAGAAATGACCAAGAACCAACAAGTGATCATGTACTAGAAGATGACTTTGGGATAATAAAAGTATTCCCATCAGGCAATGCACCACCAATAAATAATGCACAAAATCAAGAAGAAGAAAATATTATTGCTCAACAAAGCCAAGAACTTGATAAATCTAAAGGAAATTCACAAGAACAGAAAGAGATTGATGATGATGAGGATTTTAAAACTCTACCAAAAGGGTTTATACCTGAAGAAAGAGCAAAATTTTCAACACCTCCAGGAAAAAGATCAGCTCCTAGACCTAAGACTGGTTGAAGTTAATTAATTAATCAAATTCCAATGTTGTGATTATTTTATTTTTTTGAAAAAAAAAGGAGCTATTTTCTTGTTTCTTTTGTTTGTTTGTTTTGCTCATCTTTATTGTTAGTACCTGTTAATATGTTCTGAAAAGATTGTCACGAAGAACTATTTTTTAAAGTTTTTTATGTTTGATCGATCAAAATTTAAAAAATATATCTTCTGGGAATCACAAATTCCTTAAATATAAGGAAAATTATTTTGTTTTAGGTAAAATAAAAAAATAAATTTCATAAGTGATATTCTACTTTGATATCGTATTTTCCATCTTCCAACACACCTCATATTCACCAGTTAATTTTTTCTCATTCACTCCTCCCCAAACCCCTATCCGATCTTGACCCACCTCAACCTTCTATAACATGTGTCTAGATTACATACTTATTTGCCTTTATATCAAATGCAAAACAATAACTGAAAATGATATTTTTCTTCGTATCGTACACATCCTATAATGGACTCGGTTCTTCTATAGTACATGGAGCGTTCAATTTGTTTACCTAAATTTTAGAGTAACTTTCACATATAGCAAACATAAAAATCATATTTGTATGTTATAGCTATACTATGCATAATTGTTCTCCATAACAAACATAAATATGTATATACAATGAAACCAGTTGTACAATTCGCTATACATATACAAAAGAAAGCAGTTGTATACAAAAGATCAATTGTATAATTTGTGTATGTATAAAACAAGAAAGAGAGAAAGACAAAAGAAAATTGGGCAGAGAAATATTTGTGTTATATAATTATAAGTGTATAGGGACGAAGATATATGTATTTGCATGTGTACATACAATTTTCTCTCGCTTTATATAAACAGAAATACAATTTATACATTTCATTTCTATTTGTGTAAGCGAGAGAGGTGAGGGTGGTGAGCGATATTTGCGAGAATGACGAGCGAGATCTGGGAGAGGGAAGAGAGGAAATGAACATATATGTATATATAGAATTTTCTCTCGCTTTATACAAACACAAACGCATTTATATATTTGTGTTAGTATAAAAGCGAGAGAGGCGAGCGAGAGTTTGAGGGAGGGGCAACTGACAAACAGTTTGCTACATAGCACAATTAAATCAAAGTATAGTTATAGTATTTAATTTAATTATTAATTTGTCATTATACATAATTTTTCCTTAATTTTACCACGGTTAAAAGAGATTATTTTAAGTAAATAATTAT